TCTGGAAAAGCAGACCTGATAGATTAAATAGACTTCTAGAAACTACTAGGCTATCTCTGATGAAAAATGCAGAGAGAGCCATGGGTCTTAATTGGGGTTGCTATTGCTGTAATTGACCACCATAGCCAAAAGCAACTTGGGAGGTCATGGTTTATTTCAGTTAACAGCTTCATATCACAGTCCATGATGAAATGAAATCAGAGCAAGAACTCAAAGCAGAAACACAGAGAAATGCTGCTTACTGGCTTGCCCACTCATGGCTTGCTCAGTCAGCTTTCTCACACAACCCAGAGCCACCTGCCTAGAAAGCAGCACCACCCACAGTGGGTTGGACCCTCCCATATCAATCATTAATCAAGGAGTTGGACATGTTTGCCTGTAGGCCAACCTTATGGAGGCATTTTCTCAATTGAGACATGTTCCAAAATGATTGCAGCTTGTGTCAAATTGACATGAAATTGACCGGAACACAAGGATTCTGCTTAAGGAAATTGCTAATCAGTCCAAACAAAGCAGAAATTCTGTTCTCACACAATGAAAATGAACAAGCATTTATATTTATATTTTGATGATTTTTGTGTCTATAACAACATCTTAGAGACTAAATCAGCATGAAATATCTTGATATGAATCAAGAAAGGTAATATGAACTTGCTTTAGAAAGAGATTTTTAAAAAAGAGCCCAAAAGACTGACAACAAATCAAGTCTAAAGTTCTTGGAGAATATTCACCAAAGGAAGCTATACCACAGACAATAAATAATCTGAAGTGAAATGTGATGATCAAAGACTTGTGAGTTTGGGTATATTTGATGAATGAATTTCTCTCAATAACCTCTGAGAGGTGTGTGAAGTAATAGAAATTTACACAGCAATGAGATGATACCTACGGGCTTACCCGGCTTGTCACACTGAAGTCATGCTTAGCAAGGATGGTCAGAAATGTCCTAAGTAGAGTGTGCAACTCTGCTGCATCTGAAAATTTCCCATATGGTACATTTTGGCTGTCTTGATAAATACAAAGTAGTAGCATACTGCACAATATTCATTGCTGAATGGAGAGAGGCAGGGAGAATAGGCTGGCTTACAGTCTGAATCCCAGGATAACATCACCCTGCTCCCATGGGTAATTCCAATTCGGTGCTTCTGCCTCATAACTACATACAGCTTGCCTCCAGTGGTTGCATTCTACCACCCTTTAACTTCGAGTTTTAAAATGCTGCAATTGAAGAGTATACTAGTTACCTGGTTGGCCTTATTCCCCCTGTCAGGTCCAAGTGGTTAACAAATATATCAGCAAATGATTCCACTGAATGCTGACCCCACATGTTAATGACAAAATTCACTTCTTAGCTGCCCCTTGCATGTCTAATAAAATATGAACTGATATGCAGAATTTTATTATAATTTTATTATCAATCCTTTCATTTTTAGATAGAGGATATTATTTCTCATAACAAAAAATAGGATAATGTGTTCAGGAGATTCCTAGGCACCAAGAATTCACGTAGAATTTTTTAAAACAATATTTAATGGGCTCATGAAAAAATCATATTTCCTAACATACAGATATAAGAAAAGCTATACTATTCCTGGCTACACATCAGAGGGTATCGTTACTAGGTCAGTGAGAGCTCTAATGAAGACTGTGGAGAAAATCGGGTGTCATTTGGTTTTCTCCCTAAACATCAGAAAGTCTCATTTAGAAATCAATTCTCAGAGCCATCTGTACAAGACAATCTTAATTTGGCTTAACATTATTTTATCTGTTATACACCTGCTTGTTTTCTGGATTAGAAAAGATAGACAGCAACTTTTCAACCATAATAAACCTCATACTATTTTAACTGAAATGAAAACCAGGAGTTAATTTTTATACTAAGAGAATCACAGATAAGCCAGGGAATAAAGCTGGGAGTTCAAAATTACGCTGGTTATTTTCAGCTATTTTTTAAAATGGGAAATATAATTTTGCAAAGAATAATTTAGAAAAGTCATTAAACCACAGAAATGGAAATATATTATATAAAACACAGGAAGCCCCAATCTCATCATGATAATAGCATGGCATCATCTACAGCTATGTCTGCCAGCTATAGACAGCGTCAATTAATCTTTTCTTTTTTTCCATGAACCTTAATTTCCAGTCTCTGGGGCTTTTAAATTTTTAAATACATGAAACCTGAATAAAGGGGAGCATTTAAACTGTTTCAGTTGTTTAAGAAATTCAATAGCCTATCTAAAGCTCACTAATAAGTATAAGATTACAAACTGATACAAGTTTTGTGTGTGGCTCAATTCTGACCAAACTCTAATGTGCTTTAAAGTAGACCGTATTTAAAATGTGGAAAAATAAGTAGTCTGCAAGGAAGCCAAGCAGGTTCCTACGTGCCAATTTTCATGCTGTAGAAATGGGTTGCTATGTCTTTAATCGTCATAAATATTCATAATAAGGCCCTGTCCTCAGGCTTTTACATTGGGTTTCAAATCGACCTCTAAGTAACTAATTGCTGAAATCACTCATATGTCAAAAATGTATATAATGCTTAGAAATGAACTATTAGTTAAGAGTTAATATTTATTTCAGAATACCACAGCAATAATAGACACATTCTGTAGGCCATTAAAGCAGCAGCATGGTTTGGGGGAATTTAGTTAACACTGACTTATTTTCTTGAGCTCATTGTAGTACTTTTCAAGAATGCCACACAAAAATATAATACAACTTTCACAAAGATTTTGCCCAAAACTAGTACCAAATTAATTTAAAAATGTTTCAGATGTTCCTGGAGAATCACAGGCCACAGGGCGGTCCAAGTGTTCTCTCTTTCTCTCTATTCTCCCGTAACATTTAATGTTTGTGGTACCTGAAATTCTGCCCAAATAAAACTTAAAGAAAAACCCCCTCAATTCACAAGTGTATTGAATTATGGACTATATTATTTGTCTGTTTGCTTGCAGAGGGCATTGCGACACTGTTCATTAGGGGACAAGCTGTGGGTCTTTGCTGTCTCTATATACCATGTGGGTCCTACACACTAAACTCAGGTCTTTGGGCTTGGTGGCAAGGGCTTTTACCATGAAGCATCTCCCTACCCTGATGCCGACATTCTATGCCAAAAAAGTACGCATGAAATAAAGACAAAAGTATGTAAATTTGAGATAAATTTAAAAACATTTCTACACATTGTCAAATTGCATACTGAGAAAGCTAGTAGTAAAAAGTGGCACATCTGCATGAAAAAGAAATTGATTGTTTCACTTTTCTTTCTTTAACCACATATGTACTGAGCATTGTATTCTGATCATTTGATGATGGCTGACATGTTTAGTCAAACCCTGAGCAAGATTAGCTAAAAGGACAAGGCCTCTTAGTGTACATTTTAATTTAACATTTTATTGTGTGTGATTTATATGTGAGTGTGGACACTTGCTATTCAAGTGGAAGACAAATTGTGGAGTGGGGTCATGTGATTCTAAGTAAGTCTTCAAGCCTGTGTATGACAACTACTTTGACCCACTGAACCATCTTGGCAGCCCAGGATATCCTCTTTAAAGTAATAATATCTGCCTGATTTTCAAATCTTCTTAAAACATAGATCTGTCTCAACGTCTTATTTTTAACTCAACTGGTTTCCTTTTAATCAATATCTAATGCAGCATTAGATATTGCTGTGAATTTAGTAATTATTGTTATTAGGTTATTATGTTATTATGTTCTTCATTTTGTATTCATGAATTTAAGTGGCAATAAATATCACCACATGAAAAAATATGTTAATATATCAAACAGAAATACCCATGGGACATCTGTCACTGTGTCTTTGTCAGATATCTTTGGGAATATTTTCACCTGCAGTGTAAATCCCAAATGTAACCCTGGAGGTAGACAGTAAGAAAAAGCCAACATATAAATAGGTGAGTGGCATTGGTGGTCTGCAAGTCAGATGCCAGAACCACAGGGTATTCAAACTCACCGTGTCTAGTTTCTAATTTTTATAACTTCAGAGAAGAGATCACTCTATTTTCAGAATGAAAATAGAGATAAACCCATGTGACCAATTGCTTATAAAGTCACAATACAGCTAACAACAACACTGTAATGTATTATTTTTGTAGCATAGGGAAATAAACATCAAACAAAGAGCCAAGGTCCTTAAATAAATGTCTCAATCTCAGTGATTCTGATGTTCATTTCCTGTGAAATGTGGGCCCCAAATGGACCACATGTCTGTGATGCTGTCGTTATAATGGGCAAGAATACAATTCACCCTAATTCTTCACTTGCTGGTCTGAATGTAATGCCTGGCAGGAAATAATTCCAACTGTTATCCCACCACCATCCCCCATCTCGCTTTTGCTAGAGTGGCACCTTTTTCTCCCTGTTTCTGTTTCAAACTGACATTTTCTTTTAGTACAATGTTGCTAACATTAATCATAAAAATTAATAAAACTCTTAAGAATAGCAGGAATTTCATGGGTAAAGGTCTGAATCCTTGTAATGGGGAGAAAATGCACAGTTATCCACATGTGGCCACAACAATACACACATGCTAATCAGTTTTTTAAATCTCCCTTTAGGTTTTCATGACAACATCCTTTGAACCAAGATGAAAAACCCAAGAGGAACAGGGTACAGTAAATGTGCGAAGAAAGAACACACAAATTGTGTACTTTTTGCAGAAACTGGACTATCTTATACATCACAAATGCTCTTTGAACTCAGTTATCTGAAATTATCATTCACATCATATGAAAACACATGATATAAACGCTACCACGAAGTGCAGAAAAAATCTAAATGTTCCTATAGGAAAACTACTTAATGTTAAAACACCATAAATTCAACCAATTAAAATAACAACTGGTTCTTTTTAATTTGACGTCTTTTACACAGAAGACTTAAAAAAACTGCTAAATTATTGTAGAGATGTTAGTCTTAGGCTCAAAAAAATACATAGGACTACTGTGAACCCTTGGCTTTAAAATCCCTTTTCTTACCTTCACATTGTCTGGATGGAGTCCTCCAGGATGCTTGTCCATGTACTGACATAAATCAGTGTGCTGGGGAAAAAGTGGAAATGTGTTAATATCCCTCTGGCTACTAGATGATGAATCAACATTTTTCTACTTCAAAGTCAGTATTACCTTCTGGGCGAGACAAATACAGGTAGGTGGATTTTCCAGTGTATGCAGTTGCATGTTCCAACCCCCCCCCACTTTTTACCATCTTCACCTTTAGGTTTGAGGTCAAACATGTACGACTTAAAAGGAATACATGTTTATTGATGGTCAATTTTCTCTTTGAATATATATTCTGATATGTAACAAAACTCCAATTGCAAGTTTTCCATGACTGAATTTAAGTTCTTATTTACTTTATGTGAGTTGAAAACATAAGAAACCATGATATGATAGTGAACTTAATAATTGAATTTTTCACACATATATACACAAATATCTCTTAGTTTTCAAGAAATATATTTAAATATAAATTATAAATGAACAAAAACATATTCCAAGTAATAACTTTAAAAAGACAGTTATGCATTTAAACACCAAGATGACATGCAGTTTTTTTCCAAGTATGAAAAGTAAATATGCCAATAATAGTATCTTTCCTTAACTCACTTTTGTTTATAAGGTGAATGACACAAAGCTTATATTTTTAATTTATTTTTATTTAAATTAGAAACAAGCTTGTTTCTCATATCAATCCCAGCTCCCTCTCCCTCCTTCCCCGCCCTCCCCACCAGGCCCCCAGTCCCCCACTCAATCTCCACTATGATCCCTAGGGAGGGTGAGGCCCTCCATGGTGGATCTCCTGAGTCTGCCATTTCATCCAGGATAGGGCCTAGGCCCTCCCACAAGAGTCCAGGCTAAGACAGCATCCCTTTGGGATGGGCACTCACAGTCTATTTGTATGCCAGGGGTAAAAAGTACCCAAGGCCTCATAGATTACCTAGGCTTCCTAACTGACATCCACATTCAGGGAGTCTAGGTCAGTCCCATGATTTCCACACAGCCATAAATCTGGGGTCCAAGAGCTCCCCCTAGTTCAGGTCAACTGTTTCTGTGGGTTAAACCAGCCCACTCTTAACTCCTTTGCCCATCAGTTCTCTCTTTCTGTCACTGGATTCCAGGAGTTCAGTTCAGTGTTTGTCTGTGGGTGTCTGCCTCTGCTTCCTTCAGTCTCTGGATGAAGGTTCTGTTTCCCAGACTCTCTGGTAGTGGGATTGTATGCTGGCACTCTCCTGATCCATGTCTAAATCCATATATGAATGAGTACATACCATGTTTCTATTTTTGTGAATGGCCTACCACACTCAGGATGGTTTCTTCTAGTGCCATCCATTTGCCTGCAAATTTCAAGATTCCATTGTTTTTTCCACTGAATAGTACTCTGTTGTGTAAATGTACATTTTCTCTATCTGCTCTTCAGTTGAGGGGCATCTAGGTTGCTTCCAGGTTCTGGCTATTATAAATAATGCTGCTATGAACGTAGTGGAACAGATGTCCTTGTTGTATGAATGTGCATCTTTTGTGTATATGCCTAAGAGTGAAATGCTGGGTCTTGTGGTAGACTGATTCCCATTTTCCTGAGGAATCTCCATACTGATTTCCAAAGTGGCTGTACAAGTCCACACTCCCACCTCTCTAGCATAAACTGTCATTGGTGTTTTATATTTTAGCCATTCTGACAGGAGAGATGGTATCTCAGAGTTCTTTTGATTTGCATTTCCCAGATGGCTAGGGATGTTGGGCACTTTCTCACGTGTCTCTCAGCCATTTTAGACTCCTCTACTGAGAATTCTCTAGTTCTGTACCCACTTTTGGATTGGATCCTTTGGTGTTTTGGAGATTTGCTTCTTAAGTTCTTTATAAATTTTGGAGATCAGCCCTTTGTCCGATGTGGGGTTAGTGAATATTTTTTCCCATTCTGAGAGCTGCCTTTTTATCTTGCTGTGTCCTTTGCCTTACAGAAGCTTCTCAGTTTCAGGTGGTCCCATTTATTAACTGTTGATCTTAGTGTCTGTGCTACTGGAATTATGTTCAGGAAGCTGTCTCCTGTACCAATTTGTTCAAGGGTACCTCCCACTTTCCCTTTTAACAGGTTCAGTGTGGCTTGATTTATGTTGAGGTCTTTGATCCATTTGGATTTATGTTTTGTGCATGGCAAAAGACATGGATCTATCTGCAGTCTTCTACATGCCAGCCTCCAGTTATGCCAGCACAATTTGTTGAAGATTATTTCTTTTTTCCATTGTATAATTTTAGCTTCTTTGTCAAAAATCAGGTGTTCATATGTGTATGGATTAATGTCAGGGTGTTCAATTGGTCTATCTGTTTATTTTTGTGCCAATACCAAGCTGTTTCCAGGACTGTAATACAGCTTGAAGTTGGGGATGGTGATGCATCCAGATGTTGCCTTGTTGAACAGGGTTGTTTTGGCTATCCTGAGTCTCTTGTTTTTCCATATAAAGTTAAGAATTGTTCTTTCAATGTCTGTGAAGAATTGTGTTGTGTTGCTTTTGTTAAGATTGTCATTTTTACTATGTTGATCCTACTTATCCAGGAGCATGGGAGATCTTTCCTTTTTCTGGTGTCTTCTTTAATTTCTTTCTTTAAAGACTCAACGTTCTTGCGATACAGGTCTTTCACTTATTTGGTTAGTATTACCCCAAGGTATTTTATGTTGTTTGTGGGTGATATTTCTATGATTTCTTTCTCAGCCCAACACAAAGCTTTCTTAAAGCAGTAGTTTAGTCAAAAGTTTTGTTCTTGGGGCTCTGGGCAGTAGATCAGTATTTATCCCTGGCATACAAATGGACTTCATGTGTCCATAACACAAAGAGGGATGCTCTCTCAGCCTGGACTCTTAGGGGAGTGCCTGGACCCTGCCCTGAGCAAAATGATAGACTCTGGATATCTCCTATGTGGAAGGAAGTAGGGATAGGGTGAAAGGCTGGGGGGATGGTAGGTGGGTGCAGGAAGAGAGGAGGGAGAGGGAACTGGGATTGACATGTGAAGCAAGCTATTTAAAATTAAAGTAGTAAAAAGTTTTGTTCTCTTATTGCAAGGCATCACATAATGTACAAAAGGTACGATCAAGTGTTTCTGGGTGACTGAGGATGTTCAAGCTTTATAAAGCATTCGAAGACCTTGCTGAAGTCATCATGTCCAAAATTCAAATTTTGTTATTGGGATTTGACTGTACATCAGATGGCAACTTCTAATGACACATGGCAGACCTCGCTGAGCTTTTGTGGTCCATATGATGCACTGCCATTAGGTTAGTCCCTGAGGAGAGTGGAAGGGATATAGTTGCTGTGGAACGGGAGTGCCTGCATCCCAGGAGAATGCAGAGCATCCTCTAACAGCTCCCTGTAAGCATCACTAGTTCAGCAAGTGGCAGAATGTCCTTACGAAGGCTGCTGGGAGAAATCAATTCTGAGAAAGCCTAGACAAATGAAAATGGGACAGATGTACTAGTTCATATATGTCTTTCATCCAGAGCCACGCAGGGGGCTAGGAATCAGTCAAACTCCATGCTGCTGGAACTGCTCAATTTGGAAATTGCAATCTATGAGGTCCAGCCAGCTGGCACACAGAGGACCTAAACATATCGAGTGATACATATAAAACAAGCTCATTAAATAAAACTTAAAGTTACATGGGGCTTTTCCCGAATAACTATATGAAAGTTTTATTTCAAGCATTCATCTTGAGCTAAAACTGAGAGTTTGTATTATTTACTTTCTCATTCTTTCAAATGTAGCTATGGTACCATCAACTTCAGAAAGTGGCAAATATGTACTTAAGAACATTGGTTTTTTTTTGAAGAACAAATAAAACTGCATATGAGAACTTTTAACCTATAAGGTTATGCAGACAGTGTGTGTGTGTGCATGTGTGTGTTGTAAGAGCCATATGACAAGAATGATACCTGAGTGGCTTAATATTTAACACAACAAGCAAAATGGTGCACAGAAGATACATCCAAACACACTGATAGTGTCTGATGTGATTGAGAAACATTTTTAGTATCCCTTCTCACCAAAAGACTTGTGTGTTAAATGTTTGTTTCAAAGGACATTGTGCTAAACTGTTGAGATTTCAGAGAGGTGGAGTCTAGTGGGAGGTCACCATCAGGTCATTGTGGGTCTGTACTGGAAGGGATAAAAATAGTTCTTGTAGGGGCCTGAGTAAGTTTTCAAGAGAGCTTCTGGGTTGTTTTTTCTTTCTTTTTTTTTTTTTTGATACAGGATCTCACTATGTAGCCTACACTGGATTGGAGTTAGAAATCCTCTAAAGTGCTAGAATTACAAACATGCCATGACGTCTAGGTGATAGCAAGATGTGTTAGGAGACACCAAATTCATTATGGCTTCCAGTCTAGCTACAAGATCTTTTTTTCTCAAATGTACAGCTACTGAGTCCCATCCATCATAATATAACACAGCCAGAGGAGTCCTAGCCAGAGGCAGCACTGTGATATTTGTACTTGTAGCCCAGAAAGTATGAGTGATAAACCTGTTTTCTGCGTAACGCAATGAAGCAAATCAACCTTGGAAAAATCCACTTCTTTTAAAGAGGAGGGTTTGGCCAAGATAAAAATCACCACTGGGAATCAGAAAAAGGAGAACAACTACATGTGATAGCATACTCTGGAATTCCTACTGCTTCACTTAGAGACTAAGGCAGGAGGATGAACAATGTGACGCTTGGACTATATAGCAAGACCTTCTTTAAAAATGAGTGAGAAAAATTATCAAAGTCAAAGATGCAGTGATATTAAAATATACTAGAGCTCTAGCAAACAGGCCAACTACTGCAAACTTCATTTATTCAATATACTTGAAATCTAGATTAAAAACTATTTTTTCTAAAATCAGTTAATTACTGCAGTTTATTCTGTAAGAAATGAAAAACTGAAAAGCTATATCCACCCCCCCCGACTGCAAAAAGAAAGAAAGAAAGGAAGGAAGGAAGAAAGAAAGAAAGAGAGAGAGAAGGAAAATTTGGGTGACTGAGAGAAAGTTCTCCAAACTTACTGTAAAACA